GGACGGTCCGGAGAGCTTCCCTTGATCCAATGACGTTTGATAGACATTTGAGTGCCTTAACGATGTCGGAATTGAGCAATCTTGGGCTCGTTGGATTCGTCTTTTCAAGACGCTCGATTTGACTGTAAACTCGCTAGATTCGACATCCTTTTGACCTTTCAAATGCCTCCGAAAATCTCGTACTAGTGGTTTAATGACTTGATTCGAGCCTGATTTGACTCGGATTGGACTAATTTTTATATCATTAGATCCGTTTCATCGAGCCGATCAATTTGACTATAATTTTGCTGAAATCGGAATTCCGGATGACTCGTAATCAAAGTTTGAATGTTCGTGCTCAAAATATTGCATCGAGATTCGTGCTGGGTTATGATAATTTGTTGGTGGCGTATCATAACTCATGTAAGCCTATTTTCGGGCGATTTTAATTTCTTCGTCCGAAAATATCAAGATGTATAAACTTTTCATTTTATAAGTCATAAAAAAATATAAATAATTTATTATTATTTGTATGCATATAAGACTATTGTTTATCCATTATAAATAAAGAAGTAGAGCATAGCTCAGTTGATGCGTGTCTTTTGTCATTCATAAGTGGTGGGGGTTCAAATCCCACAAAAAACAAAAATAAATATCTTTTTTAACAGCTCAAAACCTGACCCCAAACCCCGGGCCCCATGCGTGCCCCAGCCGGTCATGCGAGACCCGACGGGCCAAGAGAAGAATTTGAAGCGGGTCACGAAGGATTAATTAAAGCAGGAATTTGAATAGTTGAAGAATTTGAACAAAATAATTCATGCAGATTTTTAAAATTAAAATGGTAGAATTTGAAAAGTCAAATTAAATGGAAAATGAAATGAAAAGTTTTATTTTTTATTTTTTATAATTTGAGTCATAAAAGCAGAATTTGAAAGGTTAAAAACTGATGGAATATGAAATGAAAAGTTTTTTCTTTTATTGTTATTATTATTTTTATTATATTTTTTTATTTAATGTGTATTTAATGTTATGTCTCATATCATGTCTATAAATAGAGGCATTGGATGAGAGGAAAAATCACAAGTGAGGAGGAGAAGAAAAATCTAGCGTTGTGAAGAGTAGTTGCGGCGGCGAGGCGGAAAGTTTGTTGCGGTGAAGAGTTGCGGTGTCGAGTTGCGGTGACGAATTGCAGCGTCGAGTTGCGACAAAGAGTTGCAGTGCCTAGTTCCAGTGAAGAGTTGTGGCACAGAGTTACGGCGCAGAGCTCCGGTGAAGAGTTGTGATGCCACAAGCGGTGCCGAGTTACGGTGAAGTGTTGTTGTGCCGACTCTGCTCGAAGATGAGCTGATCTGTTGTAGCTTTTATTCAAATACATGTTGGTATTTGTAGTCTTTTTAATCATCTGATGTAACATTTGTAGATTATGATAATGCATTTCTTTGTCGCTTCCACGATTGTTGTGGCATCTTAACTATACAAAATTCCTTTAAGACGAGCACCCTCTGAAGTTGTGCCCTCTCAAACTGATGCCTTATAGGAGCTTTGAGTGGAGACCCTATCAACCACTTGCTCTTGTGGAGTCTTTTTACTAAAGCCTCTATCCACTACTAGCTTCCCATCGAGACTCTCCTCTTGGAGGATTTCCAGAGGCATGTTTGAAAGAAAAGATCCATTAAGAATGTAAGAACAATTTTGAGTTGTATAACCGGAGATGCTCAACGATTTTAACTCGTAATGAACAAAGTCATGAAATCCACTTATGATGGTTGACCTATCCTAAGTTGTTGGTCGAAGTTTTTGCTTGACGACCGTAACCTGTTATGGAAGAGGTCGAAGGAAATCCACCAAGAATTTTTGACCTATCCGAGGTTGTACGTCGAAGTCTTTGTTTGAAGATTGTAG